AAAATTACGAAAACAGCCTGTTCCATTTTCCCTTGTGTGTGCTGTTTTTAACGGTTATTAACTTTGTTCCGTTAAGTACGCATTTAGCTAAAAACGAATAAAAAGCTACAAAACAACCCTAGGTCTAACCCGCTACCGTCTTCTATTAATGTGTGACCTAAACACTCTTTGTGAAATCCTGTGAGGTTTTGTGTGTTTGCATATCTCCTGTTCATAAAAACGATGGTGACTCCCTGTCTAATCAGATCCAAACAGGTATAAGTTTTAACAGAGAGAAGGTGGATCACACATACAAATTTGCTAAGCGCACACAACATATAACAAGGTAAATGCATAGACCTCTACACACCAGTGCATGATCCCAATGACGTCACATTGAAATACCCTGACGTCGTTAGGCACGTCCGCCGTCGCCCTAACGCCAATCCATTCATTACAAAAACAACAAAGACTCGGGCACTTCAGATCTTATGGCGCCGCACACTAACCACGTCACCGCGTCTGCGACTCACCATACAGATACTTCACCAACCGACGCGTTAGACGTAACTCTATAGGAGACAGAGGATGCCGAGCCCCCGCAAGACAGATAAGGAGCCTATCCACCACGAGTACGTCGGGATACCGACCTCCCTGCACGTGGTGCCTCTGCTTCGCGCGGGCTATGAAAAACGTCATGTATTTGAAGCAGCCCCTGCACCCGAAATTCTACAAAACAAGAAAGACATTGCTTTTTGTTAATATGTTTGGACAGACAGATCTGGCCAGATTTTGGAACAACGGTTATGTCGTTGGTGATATTGGCTTGGATGCCAACATCTGCAGGAAAGCCTGGAAGATATCCCAGTCCTTACCTTTAATTCAATATTCCGAAAAGCTTACCCAAAAAAAGCAGGACGAGTGACGCAGACCGATATTGCCACACTGCGTGAATCTTTCAAGGAGACCGAGGTGCGTATCAATAAATTCATTATAACTACTTTTGTGCAGTGGGAGATTGCTGATGGCTTTTGGCACGCACTAACATCGCTCACTGGTGGAGATGCCCAAGCGGCTCACAAAGATTTTCCTACCTTTGAGACTGCGCATGCTCAATTAAGGAAAGGCATGCCTCCTGCATTCGTGATCATGGCGTTCATGGGTGAAACGCCTCTACATACGCACCCAGGGCGCTTCGGACCGACTGTAGATATGCCTAAAAGGAAGGGAATTGCTAAGTGATTAAATGGGTAGCAGGGCATTGCAGCGGGTGGAAATTATTTTACGCCCACCCATTTTTGTACGAACACCTCACCTACCTCAAATGGAAGACATCAAGCCTAGGCAAGCGTAACAGTCCTGCTATCGTTACCGCATATTAGAGTATCATGATGAACTGGTGCCTTTTAAATGAATGCTGCAGCCGTTTCGTTCGAGACGCAGGGTCGAATATGGTGTCATCAGGAGAAATCATGAACATTGAGCACCATGCATGCGTTTCGTTCGAACTACTGTTGATGAAATGGATGAATTTATCCAACAGGCACTTGGCGATGGATGGGTTGGCTAACAGAAGGAAGATGGGGCATACATTTGTATAATTGATGTGTATTTTAGGAAGTCTTCCAAAGCGCGTCACCGCTCAGAAGAAATTTAATATATATGAGCTGAATATTGCACACGATAAGGTTGATACGTTTTGA